TCCCCCCCCCCCCCCCAGCAGGATGCGACACATCAAGCAGGGTTTGCAGCAAAGGGGCTGAAAAGGGCCCGTCTCTCCCTTGAAGTCACAGCAGGAACCGGGGTGTCACCTCCCCCCTGGGTGGTGGCAATTTTCAGCTTCTGGCTGTGGGATAATGATGATAACGATGCCCTTTTCTGCCCCTGGAAACATCCTGGCTGTGATCACGCTAAGTTTTCAGACAAAACTCCCTCCCAAAGTACAGCTTTGGGCTGACCAAAGGCATTTGATGAGTTTTCAGGGATTTCATTTTGCCGGTTAACAAACGAGGCAACAGCAGTTTGTATTTAAAACAGCCTTTTGTTTGCCTGCCTTTCCTTTTCAGTTTAGGACTGCTCAAAAGCTAATTGAAACCTCCTGGTGCTCGTCACATGAAACACATGTGAATCTAAAACCTCTTTGATCAACTTTTCAATTCACTTAAAATTTTGAAATACCACTTCTTGTGTGTTGCAGAAAAAACTGTGTTTCCAGTCCTCAAACCTGCACTTGGAGGAATGAGAGAGCATCTCCTGCAGCTTTGATTCTATCAGCAATGGGTTTATAATTAATTAGCATCACAAATACTTCTGAACTTGGCTTTTATCCCCCCAGATTCGGCCTACATGAGCTTGTCACTTGCTGTTACACAGAAAGTGGCTATTGCTGAAACTGATAGCAACATCCTGTTATTTCTTAACACCGCAGCACTGATTTTTTAATACCATTAACTTAACTAAACCTAAATTTCACGTACCTCACATTCAAAGAAGACTGGAGGAAGAACAACTTTAGGAGGCTAAGGCTAATCCCGCTCTCTACCACAGGAAAATAAATGGCTAAAATATTTCTGGCAGAAAAGCAATTTCCTCTTGTGCTGCTCTGCCTGGGCCTTGGGGGACAACCCAAACCCTGGGCATCCTGCCCCACTCTCTGCCTCCCCCCTCCCGGCCTGTCCAGGGAGACTCCAGCCTCTCTGTCTATACATAAAGGTAGTTAAACAACACAAAAAGTTTAGCATTTTAGAAATATCATCTCTGTATCTGGAGTTTGTCAGGATCTGAAATGGATGCCCCAGGAGCGCTGGGCTGGGGGGTGACTCTGGGCTCCTGCCAGAAAGGGAGGAGCTCAGACCTTCAAGCTCAGTCCTGCACAGCTTGAAGAAAACAAAAGTGGTTTATTTTTCTTTAGCTGTTTCCACAGATTGCATTAATGAAAGTGAAATTAAACACATTTCGTATTTAATTTTTTTTTTTTTGCCTACAAGTTTTGTTTTCTTTTTTTTCTCTTGCAAGCTTTGAAGGCTCATTTTCATCTTGTCATGGTGTCTCTCTGCTTTTGGTCTACACCGAGTCATAACTCCAAGTATGTGTTATACTGGTTTCTGAAAGAGAGGAAGATGTTTCCAGAATCAGGAAGGAAAAAAAATAAAAATTAATAATAATGATACAGATTTCCTCTGTCTTTGTTTCTCTTTTAGTTTCCAAGCACAGAAAACATGTGCCGTGTCTTATGATCCTGCAGTCACTAAGGATGCCAAGACAGAGTTTATAAGAATAAGATTTTAAACACAGTGTGTGCCTGGCTTCTTGCCAGAACAGGTAATTACAATTTTTTCCTCTCTTTAATTCCCCTGCACTTTCAATTGGATATGTTATTATTCTCCATTCCCCGATGTGCCGTGTCTTATGATCCTGCAGTCACTCAGGATGCCAAGACAGAGTTCATAAGAATGAGATTTTAAACACGGTGTGTGCCTGGCTTCTTGCCAGATCAGGTAATTACAATTTTTTCCTCTCTAAATTCCCCTGCACTTTCAATTGGATACGTTACTATTCTCCATTCCCCGACTTCAACTGTTAACACTCTGCGAGTGTCTACCCTTTTAAAAATGTTTAGCCTTGAAGGCCTGAGAACTGAACCAGCTTCTCTCTTCTGGGGTTCAATTCATCAACACAAATCACTGCCAGGCACTGAGATGATGCAGCTGTTGGTTGTTGAGAAACGATCATTGGTTCAATCGTTAAAAGGCTACCAATGAATAATTATTAATTAAAATTTATAGTTTGGAGGGACATTTTAAATTTATAAACAGGGCGTGAGG